GACTGCAAGAAAGAAAAACCTAAAACACCTGCGTCAGTAGGAATGAGAAAGTGCTGAGTAGGCAGATAACTAGCCTTCCTGCAAAAGATCCATTTAGAGGAGGCTGCTGCCTCCAAGGTATTCACTGCTGAGATCTGCCTAGAAGAAGCAGCTAATGTAAGAGCTGTCACGCTCAGAGACGCTCAGAGTTGGCCTTGTAAATAGTACATTACATAGAGCAGCTGTGGGACGTAAGCAACAAAAGAAAAGGTTAAATAGTCTTGTGTGCATATAGCGTGGATCTGCCGTCAGCCTGGCGTTCTCACATTCTGGTAAATGCAATTTCTTCTCCCGGATTCCGGGCATGTAAGCCCTCCTCGGAATGCCCTCCCTCTTCAAGTCCAGCTGTTCAAATCCCACCCATTCTCAACTCCCCTCTAACTTCACCTCCTCCAAGGACTCTCCTTGAGTCATTGCAGCCTTTATTGGCATCTTCTTTGAGTTCCAAGAATGCTTAGACGATCAACACGGTATCTAGACAAAGGAGTTAGTCTGCATATCTAGCTTGGGAACTTGTTACTGAGGCTTGATTTTCCTGCGTGCTACAGGCCCACGGGGAGGGCATGAGAAGAGGAATTGGGGGCTACTGTGAAGTCTGTGAGATGTATGGATTTTAATATTGCAAGGAGAGGATGATGGGGTCTAATATGGTACCACTCTGCAGTTCTGTAGAGGGCGTCCTGGGGAAGGAAGGGCACTCACCATAAGCCAAGGGTCTGGGCCCTTAGGTTTTCAGTACAGTGAGGTGCTGGTGGCTTCCTTCATTCTTCCCAAGGGGCCATGACTTTATGCAGAGCTGTGGATGCAATGCTGTAAGATACCCTCTAGAGGTGATACTAAGAGTAAGGCTACCCATGCAGCTGTTGAGAGCCCAGAAAGCCAGACCCCAACAAACCAGTCTATGAGCCTGCTGTGATCAGAGAGGCCACTGGAGCACTGCCAACCAGAAACACTTCGAGAAAAGCAGTTGCTGGGGTTGTGGTCACAAACAACAGGGATATCCTTTGTCTGGAGCTGCTTTTGTGAACTAAAACTAGACTCTAGCTGGAGAGTCTATCTGGGGAACATTTCCCATTAGAGGCTCATCTCAGCCATTCCAGCATGAGAGGCCATATGGCATGTGTTCAAATAAGGGGCTCTGGACTGGCAGGCCTGGGTTGGAATAACAGCTCTGCCCCTGACTATTGTGTTACCTTGAGGAATTCTCTGAACCACTCCAAGTCCCAGTTTTATCATTCATAAAATAGGGATACCAACACCACCTCCTAAAGGTAATGGTCGCTATGAGTTGGAATCGGCTCGATGGCACACAACGGCAACAAGGGTATTGGGCAGAGAATCAAGATAATGTGTATAAAGTACTTAACTTTATGCCCAGTAAGTGTTAGGTATCACCATCATTATTGTTATTATCCAGGGGAAGATTGTGGGGGTTATAAACTGTTGGTCTTTCAAGACACCATTCATTGAGAAGAAAGGATAATAAATTCTTCCCCAGAGACCCAGAACATTTGGAGGCCCAGGCTCACACTGATTATGGAGACCTTACATGGTAGAAACCTCAGATTCCTAATGGGGGATGTGGCATGTAAAGGAGGGTACACAGATTCTGTCTTGAATTGCTTGTTCATTTTTCCATGTGCCTTAGTTTTGCCTCCTCAGTTGGATTATTACCCTCTTCTGGACACAACCATATCTTTTACTCCTTTTTTAAACTGTTGTAAAAATATAGATAACACATTTGCCAATTCAACATTTCTCACATGTACAATTCAGTGACATCAATTACATCATGTCGTGCAATCATCACCAATACCCATTGCCAAATTTTCCATACTATAAACAGAAACTCACTGCTTTCTAAACAATAATTCCCCTCTTTCTCCCTCCCTCCCACCCCTAGTAATCACTATTCAACTCTGATCTCTATATATTTGCCTATTCTAGGTATTTTGTATTAGTGAGATCATACAATATTTGTCCTTTGGTATTAACTTACTTTACTCAGATTAATGTTTTCAAGGTTCACCCATGTTATAGCATGGATTAGGACTTTACTTCTCTTTATGGTTGAGTCACTGGCACCAACGACCCAGAGTGGGTGGCCACAGTCCTTCCCACAGTGTCAAGATATCCTGCACATTATCAGGAAAGCATAAGAAAACACAAAAGTTAAACAAAAAATCAGTTGACAACAAAAGTTTTATAAAGACATTATGTATTAGGAGTCTTAGAAACATTCATATCCTTTGACATAATAATTCTATTTCTAGGAAATCATCCTACCAAAATAATCTAATGAGTAGAAGAAACTGTATATGGAAAGTTATTCTTCTCAACAGAATATATAAGCAGGGAAATTTTAAAACAACCTAAATATGCAACAATAGGGGATATTTAAACTATGGGTCTTTTATGTAAAACAGCTATTAACAGTAATGTTTAAGAAGCATTTTTAAAGCCTTAGTAAGTGCTTAGGATGTAATGTTCAGTGGAAAACATTGTAAATAAGCTATGATCTCAATTATGTTTAAAATGCACAGGATATTAACAGTGGTTATTTCTGAATGGTGGGATTTGGGGTGTTTTTTATTTTCTTATTTATACTTAATATTTCTCAAATTTTCTGCAATAAGAATGCACTACTTTTATAATCAAAAAATATTGAAATTTTTAATTATGATTTTGAAAAGATGAACTGAACTGGCAATACTTTGGGGCCAGTCACCAGAAGTAGCTGAAGGTGATAACTCTAGCTAGACCCTGGTGCGGGTCATGAGGGGTTAATGTCTTTGTCCCCAGCAATATCATGGTGGCATGCTGGTAAATCCAGGAAGCCTGGCAGAGGGAAGGGGCCCAGCTTTCTTTATCTCTACAGGACACTGGAATATCTAAAACAAAGAATTCTATACTCTCCCCTGGGGCAGGGGAAGCCCAGTGCCTGTGACAAGGCCATAGCTACTCTCTTCAGGGAGGAGGAAAAAAAGGTATCTTATTCTAGACACCATTCCTTTCACAGTCAGGTTATCCTGCTTCGTTTCCTAGAACTGCCATAACAAAATACCACAAAAAGCCAAACCAAACCCGTTGCTATCCAGTTGACTCCAACTCATAGCAACCCTATAGGACAGGGCAGAACTGCCCCATAAGATTTCCAAGAAGTGGCTGGTGGATTCGAACTGCCGACCTTTTGGTTAGCAGCTGTCGCTCTTAACCACTGCACCACCAGGGCTCCAAAATACCACAAAGTAGGTAATGTTAAATAACAGAAATCTATTTTCTCACAGTTCCTGGGAGCTAGGAGTCTAAATTCAGGGTAGTGGCAGGATCATGCTCTCTCTCTGTTGACTCTAGGGGAAGGCGCTTCCTTGTCTCTTTCAGCTTCCGGTAGCCCAGGGCATTTCATGATGTTCTTTGGCCTGTAGGTGGCTCCTCATGTGGCGTCTGTCTTTTCCCTGCCTGTGACTTTCTCTTTGTACCTGTTCTCACCTTTTAGAAGACATCACTCAAAAGGAATTAGAATTAGGACCCACCCTAATGTATTATCATTGCAGTATGACTGCAATGATAGTATCTTCAAAGACTCCTATTTCTCCAAACAAGGTCATATTCACTGGTACAGTGGGTAGGATTTCAACATATCTTCTTGGGGGACACAATTCAATCCATAGCACCTGCCATATACCTTTCAAGGCAGAGACCTTGAGGACCATCTTTTTACCCTGTCTTCTCAGCCCTCTGTGGTCTCTCACCTGCTGTCCTCATCAGCCAATGGCCTCATCCAGACAAAGTTCTGAGTACCATCTAAATGCCCTGAACCCACAGGTCCCATCCTTGGGCTTCTCATCACCACTGTCTCCCTTAATCACCCATGACCCCCGACAATTAAGAAACCACCTGATTAGTGTTTTTGTTAATTACTGCAGGGCTCTGTTTACAATACCATTTGACAATAATAACACATTTCAAGAAAAGCATAGATTCATAAACTTCTCATATATCAGAACAGCTAGATAAGATTATTTATGTCCTTATTGGAAAGCAATATTTAAAATATTTGCTTTGTTTTAAATCACTCATTAGTCATTGTCTAAAATTTTATAAGATCATCTCTAGCTTGTATACTTGTTTAGCCATGTATAGCCATGTTTTCCCAATACTTAAAAACAGATGAAAAGGAATTCCTCAGTTACTTCCTTTTTCCTTCAGAATTTCAATGGACTTTGGTTATGAACACTGATAAAATGATTTATTATTATTTTTCTAGATACTGTTCATCTGTCTGCTAATCAATTCATCAAACATTCAATTCAAAAGACTGATGTTGGAGATATAATGTTAATATGCCAGCACAAAGAAAACAACATACAATTGCTTTTCCAGAAGATCAGCTAGAGAATGGTTTGAGAACTGTCTAGAGACAGCAAGACATTCTAAAGATGCTCCCACTGTCCATTCTGACCCGATGACTATTCTGAGCAAAAACTCAGGATTTCAGCTTCCTAATAAAAAAAACAAAAACCTCCATGCATTATTGATGAGAACAGTTAAGCAGATAAATAATAAAGTCTCTAGCCACTTCAAAGGAAAATGAAGAAAATGTGAGGAAATATATAATCAATTCTTCAGATATGCTGGAAAATTACAGCTGTTAGAGTCAGAAGTGATCTCAAAAGATCATTTCACTCTGTCTGCTGGCTTTATGCAGATAAAGTATTGCTATATCCACGTGAGAGATGAGATAGGCCAAGAAGGTTAAGGGACAGGCCTATTGGCACACAGCTAGTTAGTACCA